GGTTGTGAGTTATCATAAGATAAAGAAATTTAACAGGCAAACTGAAAAGGAATAATACCTAATAAAAGGTATTATTCCCTTTCATTATTTTAAGGAATAAGGAAGACTTTTCATAAAGTCTTCCTTATTCCTTAATTTTTTAAGTCAATTACTGCACACAAATAATAAAATATACTATCGACATTTAGCACTGCCGATATTTAGACATTTCAAAATCATAAGGAGAGCACAATGTTTTTTTTTTGTTCTGAATCGGTTTTTAAATTTATTGCACTTAAAAAACGAATTTTTCAATTGATTAACTTTAATAGTAATTTTATAAGTCGTTTTTGAAGTTTGAAGATGCTTGGTTTTTGTTAACTCTTTAAAACTTGTTATTGTTAACCCAATAAAATCATTGAATAATGATATTGGGGCATCATTTATCTTCTTTGCAAAGCCATCATTTATCTTCTTTGCTCTAATTGCCTTTTGATACTTCTGATCAAAAGATAACAGAATCCATTTCTTAAGAGTAGATCTTGTGTGAACTTTATTGGGACCAATAATCCGTAAAGCTTTCTTTTGTTGACACTTGAGTTGCATACTTTTTTGGATATACTGTTTCTCAAGATTATAATACCATATATTAAATAGCTTGTAATTAAAGCATTAGATAAAATAACTATAGATTTATGAGGCATTAGTTAAGATAGTGATATTAAATGAATACTTTTTATGTCTAACATCTGTCGTAGCGTTTAAAAAACATCCATATGCTTAATGGGAACTTCGAATGTGCAAGTACATGTAAACGATTAGACCGGCACAAGTACATACAAATAAACAAAAGGTTAATAGGCTTATTTATTATGCCTAATTATTTTATATTGGTAATATCATAACCCAAGATAAAAATAACATAATACATACCCTCCCAAGTAAATAATGCCGCAACTTATATTTGCAAATCAAATAATATACGGGCTATGTCAGTAATTTAATTTAAATTCATGGCAATAATATCATAAAAGCTCAGATTCAGGATCAGCCATTTGTTAAAACCAATGAAAAAGTAATGAATAAGCAATGAATATTTCACGACTGGAGTATAAAGTTCTGTCTTTTTAAATAATATGAAAAAGAAAATAATTAAACATTTTGTTTTTAGGATATATCACCCCTCTTTTAAATATACATCGTTTTGTTCCAGGATTATCTGACAAATTTGATTCATCGTAGTTAAAAATATTTTTAAAAGGAATTTCTTTTTATTCATTATACTTTAATGTAATTTTCAAGTTATTAAATTATTAAGTTTAGAATATGAAACTGATGCAAGAAACTTTTAAACAATCTGACTTGCTGAGTGAAATCGGTATTGTGACGTTTTATAAAACAAAGAGCCTGGAAAGTTATTTTAAAACTTAGGAACAATTCTGCCCTTAATATCAAAAATTGACTTTTTTTAAAAACAAATTTCCATTATATCAAAAAGAAAACCCCAAACAAGAACAGCAATAAAATGTTGTACAATTGCTTATATTTAGGGTTAAGTAGTCTAAAACCGTCGGCGGCTTATACCGCCATTTCATTTTTTAAAGTTAGCAATTTAGGAAACATTATCAGAAATTTTTAGATAAGTCATTTTTTTAGTTATAAAACATCATATTTTTTGAACTTTCGCCCATTTAATTGTGGTTTTGAGTCATTCGCAATTATTCTATACCAAGGGCGGATCGATAGGGAGGGGGGGAAGGCGACGGGGGCAATCGTTACCCCCCCCCCTACATGATTTGAAAAAACACTTTTTTGTATTTAGTATATTTAGCCGTTTATAAAAAAAGCATACTTGGTTTGTCGATTATTTTCAATCATATTACAAATTCTAATTTACGATTTTCCGAATTCGCCAAACGGTCAATCACTTTTTCAACATTTACAGGAATTTCTCCACCCGACTAGTCTGTTTTCTGTCATTCGTGTTCTCAGCCAATTCTTAATTCTTCACAAGGTTGAGAAGCTACGCTCAGCACTGGCGACACTTACACGACATGTCTTGATAATTTTAAACATTTTATGAGTGATTGGATATTGAACCTGGTCACACAAATCAAAAACAACAGAAAGATCAGTAGGTAGTGATGTGATTTCTTCCTCATCTTTCATCCTTATAAATTTGCACTGCCATAGTTCAACTTCCAATGTAAATTCAAGTGCAGGTAAATTTTGTATACTAAGTCCAAGAATGACGCCATAGACATTACTGATTGCTGAAAGAGTTTTAACAGTATCTTTATGAGTCAGTGTAACAGTATTTTTTGGCATTAAAGCCTAGATTTGAAGACATTTTAAATTTTCATTAGAAAAACGTGTACTTATGTCCGATATCAACGCGTCAATTAAAGAAATATAAATTGATTGCCTGTAATACTCTTCCATTGAATCTGAAGGTATATTTTCACGACACGTCCGTTGTTGTACTATTCTTTTGTAGGGAAAACTACCATTTTTTTCAATTATTGTTTTTTCTGCGGCTCTATAAACATTTCTTCGCTGTTTTCTTTTTTATGTTTTAAAACTATTAACAGGTCTTTAATGCAATTTTTTGCTTTATGTAAATCTAAACTTTTTTTTTGAAACAACTGACTGAGCCCATTTGTTAAGGAAAACACGTGCACTGCACAGCCTAAAGATACAATAAAATCTTTTTCTCTAACTGATAATAATAAAATTCTTGCTTTTATTGAAAATGTTCTGTCATTCCATTTAGATATATTGTCCAGTGCATCAATTATTTGTGGAAGCTCAACACTAAACGTTAGCAAAGCATCATGTCTCTCAACCCATCGTGTTTTACAGAGTGAAAGCAGTTGTGAAATTAGCATTTTTCTAATAATAAAATTTCGTTTGGCAGAAGCATTGAAAAAAGCAACAACTTTGCTAATAACTCCTAAACAATTTCTTATTGCTTGTACGTTGGAACTCTTAGATGAAGTTAAATTTAAAGCATGATTATAACATGGACACCAAACAGCATTTGACGCAACTTGTTGAACTTCAACTACCGCTTCTTTTTGTAATGACAATATAACACTACAACCATCTGTTCCCACACCGACACATTTTTCTAAAAAAAGGCGTAACTCTTTTTCCAACATGTTTATAACAGATTGACCGATGGCTTTGCTGTCAAGAATAGGTTCATTGTAAATAGTTGCATTACTTTTGGTTTGATGATTTTGATCATGTAAATCAACAAATCCAAAAAAATATTCTCAAACTGATCAGCCATCAAATAGCGTAGTATTGTTGTCATTTGTGACTGATGTGATGCATCGGTTATTTCGTCAAACATAATAGCATAATAATTTGATTCTCTAACTCGACCCACAATTTGTTCACATATTTCTTCTCCACAACATTCAATTAAAGCATTTTAGGTAGTTTTGCTAATGTATGTTGCAGAAGCTCTAGCTATTTTCAAATGAATTTCTAAATTTAAATTGCCACAGTTTACTCTAAATTTTAGCAACTCTCGAAAATTACCTTCGTTTGCCATTACATCAGAATCGTTATCGTCTATGTCTAATAAGCTGCCATCATCTCTGTGGCCTCTAAAAGGAATATTTTGCCTTCCTAAAAATATAATTGTTTCCACAAAAGGTGTCAATCGTTAACGATTTTCTAAAACCTGTTGAAGCCGTTGAGTGTTTATTCTGTTTACAATATCCATTGCTGGTTTATTATAGTTTTTAAAAAAATACCTTCTTGCTTCAACAGCTTCCTTGTCATATGTTGCTTTTTCGTGACTTGTTAGATCTCCGTCCTTGCCAAACAGTGTGTGTTTGTTAATGAAGAAGATTTTAATAAGTAAAAAACTTTATAAATGTTTATCCAAAAATTAGGAATATAGCAAAACTATATAAATAAGTTTCATTTTTTTACAGTTAAATATGGTGTATCATAAAAAAAGAAAAACTAATAGACCACCTAGAGGTAAAGTTAATGAGAATGAAATGGGAGCAGCTGTTAATGCAGTTCTTAATGGTGGTACAGTTTATTGTGTATCTAAAGAGAGGGGAATTAATTTAATGACACTTAAGAGATATGTAAGGAAATGTCAATTAAATCCAAATACAGTCTGCAAACCTAACTTCATTATCATGCAAATCTTTACCAACGAAGAAGAAACATCTTTACCAGATGATCTTTTAAGGGCCTCAAAACTTCACTATGGATTGTCAACCAAAACAACACGAAAACTTGCCTATGAACTTGCAAGGACTCTTTCTAAGCGCAATCCTAAATCGTGGAAAAGTTTACAAATTGCTGGGAAACAGTGGCTTCGTGGTTTTATATTACGTAGGAATGAGTTATCTTTACGAAATCCAGAAGCTACTAGTATGGCACGAGCAACTGCTTTTAATTGTTATACAGTCAGAGAATTTTTCACCAATCTAAAAGATGTTCGTCTACGACACAAGTTTCAGCCACAAAACATATATAATGTTGATAAGACAGGTCTCACAACTGTTCAAAAACCAGTTAAAGTAATTGCTAAAAAACGAGATAAACAAGTTGGAAGGATAACTTCAGCAGAAAGAGGGACATTGGTAACAGTTTGTTGTGCAGTTGATGCAATAGGAAACTTAATCCTTCCATTTTTTATTATTCCAAGAGTTCATTTCAAAGGAAGTATGATAAATGATGGTCTACCTGGATGTGTTAAGATTGTAAACCCATCTGGTTGGATGAATGTTGCAACTTTTTAGAGTAGATAAAACATTTTATTCAAAATATGAAATGTTCACCAGCTAATCCAGTGCTTTTACTTCTTGACAACCACGAGAGCCATGTTTCAATTGTGTGTTTAGATTTAGCTAAAAAAAATGGCATAACTATGTTGTCCACCACATTGTAGTCACAAGTTGTAGCCATTAGATCGGTCAGTTTATGGGCCACTGAAACGTTATTACAATGCAGCCTGTGATGATTGGATTGTATCTAATCCAAGACCGATGACCATATATGATGTAACTTCAGTTGTAAGGAAAGCCTATGCACAAGGAATTGAACCCTTTAATCCTAACATTTTTTCTGATAATGAGTTTTTGTTTTCATATGTAACAGACCGTCCAGAACCTATTAATGCTAACCCATTTCCAGGTATTGTTAATCCAGTTTCTGCTAGTGTTTATGCCCCAGCTTTTAATCAATCATTGATGTCAAGTTTGTCATCTGGTTCAGCTTGTATTGTATTGCCTATTCAGCCTATATCTGACCCTGGAAGTCAACTATCCAGTGTTTCTAATAATGTCTCTAATAATCAAGCAAGTCTAGAAAAAATTAGGCCATTTCCAAAAGCTGGATTAAGGAAACCCATTAAAGGACGTAAACGTCAGCGTACTCGAATACTCACAGACACTCCTGTTCGAAATGAGTTAAATAAGCTTCAGGAAATAAAAAAAAATCTCAGTCAAAAAAGAAAAAACATGAAACGCAAAATGAGATCTTCATGACAAGAAAAAGAAAACTTGATCTTGAAAGTAAGGGGTCGTCCATAAATTACGTCACGCTATAAGGAGGGGGGGTTGTGATGACTCATTCAATACTCGCTTCTTAAGTGTAACGATTTTGTGACGAGGGGAGGGGGGTTGAAAACGGTCAAAAATTGCGTGACGTAATTTATTGACAACCCCTAATGAAACTAAAAACGTTGAGTCTCAGTAAAAAAATAATATTTTTTTCATTAATTTTTACTTTTTCAGGAAAGATAAATTTGTAGTAAAATTAATAATAACTTTATTGTTTTTTATTATAGACATTGTTTTGATGACTTAAAAATTATTCTTATACATTCATGGTATAAATCTCGAATCTGGTATGCACCCATGAGCCTAATTGAGCGTTCTTAGTTTTTATAATTTTAAGCCTACTTAAAATATTCTGGTAAAAAAATGATAATTGAATTTTAATAAGGTATAAAATTTGCTATTATGTACTGTTATTTTAGAGATCGAAATAAAAACATATATTAAGTAAGTTGGCCTGATAGATTTTTAGGATCATGGGTGCATACTCTCCCCTACTCAAATTTATTGCTGTTACCTGCTAAATAAAAAGCACTGGTTTTTGCTAAAACAACTATTACATTAATTTAACAGGTTTGTATTACATAAATTATTCTTTCAAAATTATGAAAAAAAGGAAGATTAACTGAGATAATTGGAGAGATAATTATTTGAAAGAAGAAGAAGCAAGAGAAGCAATCCCTAAAGTTTAGTTTATTATGTTACTTTGAAGCGCGCTAATTCTAAACGGGACTACTAACCAATATACGACGTCATTTCATAGTTACACTGGTTAAAGTAGTTTATTTAGAATTAAAGAATAAAATTAAAAATTAAAGAGTAATATATATAAGTAATACTCTTTATATATAAAATATATATATAAAGAGTATGACAGAAAAAGAGTAATATTCAGACGAATGTTATATAAAAAAAATTTGTGAGGTTGCTGAAAAATAGTCCCCCTTACTTGATGGTCTGGATCCGCCCCTGTTCTATACAGTGTAGAGAGCGTGACTATTCTTTTTTTATCATTGATCAAAAAAGTATTGTTTTTTATTTATAATTGCTTAAAACTATCAATGTTTTTGTTATTTTTGTTTATTCATGCATCCAATTCATTATTTGATTTTTGAAAGTAAGCAATGTTCACAGAATTTTTTTTTTTTATTTATTTTGTCACCATATATTTTACCTACATACATTTATAAATAAGATAAAAATTAAAATAATGACAGGAGCAAGTAGAAGAAGTATAAACAAATAAAACCCGTTTTACATGAAACATTTATATCTGCCAGACTAGAATGGGCTAATAACGCCACAAGTTTATTTTGCTTTTCGATATTAAAATTTTGTGTCTATGTGTTTTAATTGCACTCAAAGCTTATAATTTAATGTTTTTGCTCTCAAATTTTATTTTAAACTACTGTAATTTAATTTTGAAGTTTAAAAAAATGAAACAAAAAACGTAAATTTAAAAATTCTTAAAATATATTATTTAAGTTGCTGTGCTGTGTATTTAACTGCACCATTTAACGCAAAAATGACTGTTTAAGGAATACCTTTTTCTTTTAAATGTACTTTTGTTATTGTTGCCTTTTCGCAACCGGATAAAATAAGTTGAGGATAAAATAGAAACAAAAAAGTCAAACAAAAATGGCCACAAAACATAATTTGAAAAAAATTCTAAAATCATCGAAAAAGAGAACTAAGAATGACGAAGATACGTTTTGTGGAGAGTGCAGACTCTTTTACAACGATAAAAGAAAAAAAGATGATTGGATTTAATGCGTCGGATACCAAACTTGGTTCGATGAACATTGTGACACAGGAAGCATCATAAAAAGTGGCCAATGCACTTTGTGCTAAGTAGGGTGTACATCAAGTAGCGAAAGTAATCTAAATAATAATACTACCTAATCAAAAAAAGATCTTTTAAAAATGTAGAGAATGCATAACAATAATCAACTAAATATAAAAGGGTCGCGTTATTAGACTATTTTACCCTATATTTGTAACACTGTTAGTTTTCCAGATTTTTGAATTAGGATTTTTAATCCTTTTATGCAAAGAGCCAACTGGCACTTTTTGTATAGCAAACAGCCATTGATAGCTACTATAACATTTGAAATTTAGCGCTCTGCATAATTTGTATACCACCTAGTACCAATTTCTCTTTTGTAAAAACAAGGCGTAGTACTGCTATGAATTACTAAATAAAAAAATAAAAAAATGAATACACCTATATAACAAAATATTTTATGCAACACATTTTTGAATGTACACACAAATATTAGTTGATAATTTTTATATAAGATTGAAAAATTACTAGGATTGAAAAAAATAAAAATAATAACTTGGACTTAAGCAGTGTGCAAAGGTTTTAGGCCTATTTTTTGAGAAAATTATCCAAAATTTTAAAATGATTTTATAAGGAACAAACACAACCAATTAACGTAGGAAGACTTTAAATAATAAAAATATAAACTATTCAAAAATTTTGATGTTTAAACAGTTTCATATAAATAATTATCATAATTGTAGGTAAAAAAAAAAAAAAAAAAAAAACTCGTAAAGTTATCCGCTTTTCAAAGTAACCATGGTTACAATGCTAAAAAAAGTTATCTATTAAATCTCTCGCCATCTTTAGTATTTAGGAACAGTCACAGTAAAAGAATGAGACTTAATAGAAAAACGAATAACACGAGAATGAATATTAGTAGATGGCACAAAAGACGCTAGCTCGTTAGTACAGTGCCCATCATAGTATTTATAAAAATAAAAAAGAGAAGCAACATTACAACGATTTGATAATGGTTGGAGGTTGGCTGCAAGAGCAGGTCCAACTATGTTTACTATCCCTTTCTGCACCTTACAATGCCTTACTCCATACAAGGATGGGTTTGAGATTTTTAGAGATAAAAAATAGAATCCGGAGTAAGAAAGTGGCAAACATAAAGAGATGCAACCTTAGCAGAGTTTTGCTAGTTTTGCAATTGATTTGATATATGGTTACCAAGAAAGATCGCAAGATGACTCATTGAGTATATAACCGTTCAAATATATTGAAAGATCTAGATTATTGCAATAACATTTAGCTAAAAAAAAATGAGTTTTCTCTGAGTTAAAGTTCACCAGCCACTGCACAGTGGGTCAGAAACCGGTAAAACCTAAAAAATAAAGTTTAAAAATCTAATTTTTTTTTTAAAATATCTGTTGTATATGTCTAATATACGAAAATAATATTATTTATGATAATTCATTAAGTTTACATAGGTATAAGAGTTCTGTTAGCAAGGTAATGTTAAAAATCATTCTTAATTTTTTATATATTGCATTCGTATTTTTACATTCGTTCTATTTTTTAAGGTAAGAAAACCCTATGCCACATTTTTTTTGTATGTATCTGGGGCGGATCCAGGAAAAATATTGACTGTAGCAAAAGTAAAACCAGAGGATCACAGCAACAGTGGCGTGGCTAGGTGACAGAGGACCTTTTTTTTTTAGATTATTCTGTTAGTCTAGATGGGTGATAAAAATGTTTACCGTTTACCAACACAACTGCTTAGCACGTTAAATGAAATATTTAAATTGTAAAAAAATACCAGAAATAATGGTCAATAATGGTATTTATCCAAAACCTACACATCATTTTCTTTTTTACAACAAAAAATTATTACAAATTTTTAATTTAAAACTTTTTCAACTTTTAAACCTTCAAAAATATTTCAACTAATATAAAATTTTGATTACAAAAATTAAATAAATTATTATCGAGTTTACTTGAATCGTTAAATTTTCAACTCAATTTAACCGATAGCGATAGTGTAAAAATGTAACTGGTAGCGATACAGGTAGACAAGGCCTTCCTATGTATTTATCCCTATTGACATAAGTTTATTTATAATACCTTCATTTAATGAATATTTTGTTGTTTAGTCTTATCAGACCGACAGGAAAGTTCTGGAGTGCCTACCTGTAGATAAATTTTTAATTACTGGGCTGTAGTAACAGCGTAAAAAAAATCAATTCAAAAATTTTAGAGGCACCATAAACCTAACTTAAAATTCTGTACCTCAGAAGACTCACAAAGAGCAAGTAGATCTGGTGAACGTTTCAAGAGATAAGAAAATTTACTTTAAAGACCATAAATATTTGTCAATTTAGAGAATTTGTTTGTGACGATGGTGTTTTGAGTTTCATAGTTTTTGGTACTATAGTCATTTTTAAACTTGTTAAAGAACTTGACTAAAAGGACACATAGTACCCAGAACACTATTTAATAGTTCAAGCAATTGCCTTAGTAAGTAACACTACAAAGTCATATTAGACCGTTGCATAATTGTAGGTGAGTTAATTCTATTATTGCTTGTTTTTGAAGACAAACACAAATGGTACAATTGACTCTTCAATGCACGAAAAGGATCAACTATAGTAACTTTTTGCAGTGAATGGATGGAAACTTAGATTAAATCATTTTGTTCCAAATATTAAAAAAGTAGAAAATAATCTCTGATTTGCAATGATTGCTCATATATCTTCAAAAGACTTAAATATATCAAAAGTATAACTTTAATACGCTTGGTTACTAATTGATAAAAATAATGTCTAATATTACTTATTTTAAAATAAATAGCAAATTAAGGTATTTTGAAAACACTTTAGAAAAAGAAAATCACCAGAAAATCCTTTATGCAAGAATATTTATTGTCTTGTTTATAAAGTATTTTATGTGGAGATAGAATTAGCGCAAGGTATTCACAGTTACCCAGAATGACTGCAACCTAAGGTAATTTATAATCTTCTATATTGTTTCTGTGAAATACTTTTAGATAAGGTTACAAGCATTAAATGGCTCACATAAAAAAACGTATAAACTGGCTGTGAATTCTTTGTGTCAGAAATTATCACGAAACAACAGAATTTGTGGGGAACGACAACGTAAAACTTGTTAATGTTTTAAATCAATACATTTTGTACATTGCAAATTTTTTATTTTATTTTTTAAAAAGAAATAAAAACAGCGCCGGTTTAATTGGAGGTAGAATAACAGAAAAAAATATTTAATTAGACAATTAAAGGGTTACCGGCAAATTTCTGTTTTTAATTTGCTACCATTGTTTATTTCAAAATACCCCACTCTCTGTTTAAATGATAAAAAAAATGCATTTATCAAATAGCAAAAAAGCACAACAAGCTTCCATTTTGAATAAATAGAAACATTTCCTAAGGCTGCAACCCACATTGAGGATATTGAAATATTTTTGTATTTTGAACTACATTTGCGTTTCCTCTAAAAAAAAAAAAACTTCATCAGTTTCGAAGATATTTTAGAACTCTCAGATTCTGGTGGGTAGTGGATGCATACACCAGCCCCTCTTCCTCTAAATCCGTCACTGCCTGCCACTGTTAACTGCAACTTTATCATTTACACAAAACTTTATAGTATTTTTTTCTTTTATCAGTGAATACCAGGAGTTGTGATGGGATTACCGGTAGTTGGAAAGTGAATACCGGGATTCGGGAGGTGAATACTTAAAGCTGGAAAGTGAATACTGGGAGTTGGAAAGTGAATAATGGGAGTTAGGTATATATAAACAAATTTTGCAGCTGTGATGACACCAATAGGGCCGAGAGCACGTTCCCCTTCCCCCATTTTATATGTAAAAGATCTTTTTTTTTAAAGAAAATCCTAGAGTTTTGAACTAGTAAATTTACCGATATTTTAAAAAACCTGTAATTCGGTAAAAAAATTTTTTTTACCGGGTTACCGGTAATTTACCAGTTTTTTTTCTAAAGGCTTAAATAGTAACAATATAAACACAAGGGTGGTTCAAATTTAGGTCAAAAAATTTTTACGACTAGAGTGGAAGTTTATAAGGTGCACAGACCCTTGTTTTATATATAGGATTTTTTTTTTTTTTTGAAGGGTGGCACACGGCCCAAAAGTACTTTTTTTTTACCCTTTTCTGACGTTTTTCGACCCCCGTGTGCCACCCTTAAGCATTACAGAATTCAAATTATTTTTTTTACATATTTTTGCAAGGACCTATAGAAAAAAATAAAAAGGCACTCTAACTCAATTTATTTTTTGAAAACTTAAAAAAATGTTCTTTAAAAATACCTAAAAACAATTTTTTTTCAAATCTAATGAATTTTCTATACACGCAACTATTTCAATGACAGCGGTATGATCTCATTGTTCAAATGTAATAATCATACTCAATGTTCAACATCTGCTATTTTAATAACATTAAACAAAACTTATTAACGTTGGTAAAGTGTTTATTTTAAAATAAAATTCAATTTTATTATAATTTATTTACATTTACATTTTTTTTACATTTTTTTTTACATTTTTTTTACATTTTTTAGGTTTTACATTTACACCAAGTTGTCCAGATTCGGGAGAGAACTGCTGCGTTATATCTAAGCTGAAAGTTTCATGGGAACTTGGTGGATACAGAACTCGTGACATACAATGCGTTTTACGGTTATTAATATTTATGAAATCTTAATCTAAATTAGCTTTACAGTTATTTAATAAGGAAAGAAGTCGAGGCTGTAGTAATGAAATATAAAAAGCTGCAATCGCTAAGAAACAGATCAACACCAGGAGCAATAAAAGATAGAGAGAACTTCTTAATAGAATCTTAAAGGGTATTCTGGTTAGGACATGACATACAAATCATGATTGATGAAATAAAAAAGGAGAGAAAAAAAACTGAAGAAAGTAAATGTATGGACTTTATGTTCTTGAAAATGCAGAAGGAAAAAAGGCAAGGTTGTCTAGGCATTTCTGATACTTGCTTGAGAAAGTCTGCAAAAAGATCTGAAAAAAAAAAATTAAAAGTGAATCATCAGAGAAAATAGGAGATTTAGATGCAACTTATAGCTCAAAAGGTGATGTTAGTGATTTTTCTTTAAGCTCAGAATACCTCGAGTCTGTTACAAGTGAGTCAAATGACGATTCTCATAAAGAAGAGCAAAGTTTATTACTGCCTAAAGATATTTTAAAGCGTACTGCACTAACTGCTGTAGGAGAAGGTCTTTCTATCAATCAGCACACTGCTATCATAAGCAGTGTGATAGCAGTTTCAGGAGGAGAAATAAATAAATTTGTTGTGTCCAAATCATCATCTCTTCGAGCTGTAGATAAAGTAATAAATTCGGAAGCTCAAAAAATTAGACAGTATTTAAAACACTTGACTGGCTCCAAATATAAGCTGATTTCTGTTCACTTTGACGGGAAATTATTTAAAGAATATACAGATAAAGTTTCAGTTACAAGAGAAAGATTAGCAGTACTAGTGAAAGCGAATAAGAAAACTGAGCTCCTAGCTATTCCTCATATTGAGTCAGGTTCTGCGGAAAATCAGTTTAAAGCAGTTTATAATCTATTAGATTCTTTTGGTCTTAGTCATCATATACATTGTATATGCTTTGATACTACAGCTTCCAACACTGGAGAGCACAAAGGAGTTATAACAAGAATAGCCGATAAGCTGGGAAGGCCACTACTTTTCCTTGCCTGTAGACATCATATATTGGAAAGACATATTACCCACTTTAACAAGATATATCCCAGTAGTAAAACGTCTGGTCCAGAAAACCAGATTTTTAAACACCTGAAATCTGTCTGGAATGATCTTGAAAAAGACATTGTTACATTGAAGAGGATTGAAACTCCAAGTGGAACTTGGATAAATAAACAACATCTTGAAGCTGAAAAATTCTACAGAGATGCAATAGATAATAGGATCTACAAAAAGGTTAACTACAGTTTTGTAGTAGCTTGCTTAAAATAATTTAAACAATCTGTATACACAATCATAATAAAATAAATCATAATCATAAATATAAAAAATCCTTTATTTTTAGGATGGTAAATCAAGAAAGGATTATCAAGAATTAGCGGAACTTTCTTTGGTAGTTTCTCAAAAAGATAGGTTCAAATTTCGTATTCCTGGTCCAATACATCGTGCAAGATTCATGTCAAAAGCGTTGTATTATCTTAAAATGTATTTACTATTGGAAGCTATTCCAAGTTTATCAGAAGAAAATAAAGAAGAGATTCGTGAAATGGCTATGTTTGTTGGTATCTTTTACACTCAATGGTTTCTTAGAGCAGTATCCGCAACTGCTGCGCCATATCAGGTTAAAAATAATCATTATAAATAAGAAAAAAGCGTAAAAAATGATGAGTTAATTTTCCAATTGATGACTTAATCTAATATTGTTAAACATATTTTTAGGAGATGAAAGCTCTGTGGCAGACGAAGAGGATCATGGATATAAATCTTCTTGGAGCTACTTTAGCAATAAAATCATTTGACAGACACAGCTGATACCTTGATCCTGCCTTAGTTGTGCTCGCATTAGCAGATAAACATTGCCCAAACAGAGAAGATATTGCCACATCATTATACAATAAACTTCCCATCAAACCAATAGTGTATCCACTTGAACGTGTTATGGTCAATAAAGAGGTTCTTCACTCTCTAGACTTTTCACAAGATCAGCCTCCTTCTCTTTATTCTCTAATAACTGAGCAATCTTGACTTATCTTTAATAAGATTGGACATGAAAAGGGTGAGTTGCAGTGGCTAAAGATCCCCTCGCAGTTTTGTAAGTTTAACGATTTTTATCTTGAGTTTGAATCTACTATTAAATCTTTTGATGTGGTTAACGATTCGTCAGAGAGGACCATAAATCTAGTAAAAGAGCTGATTGGAAAATCAACGAAAGAGAAGAAGAGACTAGATTTGTTCTTGTTAAACCATGTTTACAAAAGAAATAAAAAAAGGACAAAGAAAAAAGATTTAACATCAAATGTAATTAGTAGTATTTTAAAATGCTGATTATTGGTTATTTAATCAAAGTTTAAAATTACGTTAACTTAATTTTTATTTATTCCCATTTCTCTACCTGCAACTCGTAATAAAGTTATATTATTAGGGGAGTGGTAATCCAACTTCATCTAGATTCATCTTTAAGTTTAACATCAAAAATTATGTAATACATTAAACTAGATTTTGTAATAAAAATACCATAGAGCTATACGTTGAGCTTTTAACTTCCTCTTTTTGGGGAGGGTGGCAACTTTACATGGTCATAACTTTTGAACGCTACAATATTATTAAATGAAATTTGAAATCTGTCGATAAATGTAAATTTAGTTCAGAATAATAATAGTATAAATTTGGGCAACTTATTGCCCTCACCATTAGGGTAGGGTGGGGGAAGGGCTAAGTTTTACGGTTTTTTAGATCTCAGGCTCCGATCACTGGAATTTTTTTATAGCATCACAATTTGATAAAAATATAGGTATACGTAGTTTTGAAGTTTTTTCCATGTCTACATGTTATTTATCACAAGCAGCAACGAAAGCTACCGCGATCACTGAAATTAAGAAAATCGTTTTTTTGTCAATATTTAGCGACTTTTCTATAAGTTTTTCAGTGTTGAAAAGTAATAATACAAATAGAGTGCCTTTTTATTTTATTATATAGGTTCTTGTAAGGATATGTAAAAAAAAAAATTTGAATTTAATAATGTTTAAGGGTGGCACACGCGGGTCAAAAAACGTCAAAAAAAGGTAAAAAAAAAAAAAAGTACTTTTGGGCCGTGTGCCACCCTTAAACTTCAAAAAAAAAAAAAAAAAAAAAAAATCCTATATATAAAACAAGGGTCTGTGCACCTTATAAACTTCCAATATAGTCGTAAAAATTTTTTGACCTAAATTTGAACCACCCTACTAAACACTGAAAACAACAAAAAGCATAACAAATGAATATATTAGTAAAATAGCATCAGTTTACAGGTCCATCCTAGTTAAAAATAAATAAGTTAAACAATCAAAAAGATTTTTTTTATATAATAAAATATAATTAATTCATCTATTATACATTAACATTTTTGTATTTTAGCCTAAACATAAAGAAAACTTCATTTTAAAAATAAAAATAGTTAATATAGTCAATTCTTTTCAAGGAGCATAAATTGTTTATTGAAGTAAGCTCTTAAAATACACATTATATTTAATGTTTCGTCGTTTAAACTTGTTCTGTACCTTGTGCCAATTAAACCTGCTGCAGAAAAAGCTCTTTCCGATTCTACACTGGTTGGGCAAACTGCTGAAATATAGTTTTGGAGTTTGTTTAAATATTTTCCTTTAATATTTTGTTCCTTGAAACACGATATTTCTTTCTTGACTATATTTAAATGACCGGATGTTGTCTTCGGATCACTAATCTCTTCGTGAGCAATAGTTATCATTTTTTTTTTAATTACTAAATCAAGTTTTTCCTTCATTGACATTGGTTGACTTGATGTCGCCACTGCTGATAAAACCGTAGATTCACTAGTTGATTCAGTTTCATACACTTGCACAATTTCAGCTTCAGTAGTTTCGGAATTATTTTTTAAAAATTGTTGAATGATTTCTGCAATATTTTTTTCCATAACCAATTTACTTGTTGTATTAAACACGCCATAATTATTTTCATTATTTAAAGCTGTACGTGGACATGGTTCATGAAGATATGAATATATATCAGAATATACGGTTCTTCTCTCACTTATTCGAAATATTAAATCTTGTTTCAATTCATTACTTAAGAAATTATTTTGGTTACTTAGTTCATCCAACATGAACCTAATTGTCAAACCTGCAGCATATAGATTCTGCTTTAGAGTTTACTTCAACATATAGAAGCTACTTTAACAGGTTGCAAAGCCATTATTATATTTGATACAACATTGAGATCATTTTCTGATAAATCTATTTCGAATTTGATATCGATTAGACTCTTACGAACACAATTTTTAATCTCATAAATTCTTTTCAACATTATCAACATACTGCTCCACCGTGTTTTTGTGTCAAGGATTAGCGTAAGTTCTTTTTTAAATTCATCCTTAACATGTTTTGGAGGATGTCATTTTTTGTTGGTGATCTACGGAACATGACAACAACTTTTCGAATATTTGTTATTATTGGACCTACACTTTCATGTTGAATTGATGAATCAGTAGTTAATGTATCCTCAATAACGTCAAAAACCCCAATATCTTCCATTACATCGCCCTCTTCATCTTCACCATGTTTAAATTCAGTAATAGCCACTTCTTGATTTTTTACGGCAATATTATCTGAAAGATCTTTTATACAGCACCTTAATTACTGATAACTGGATGCCGTGGGCTAAACAAAGTTGATGATTTACGTCCAGTAATCTGCCTACCTTTTTCATTACGGCGGCCCTATCCGTAGTAATGGAAAGTATATTTTCTATCGCAATACTAAATTCTTTAAGTGTATTTTGAAGATACGTTATACATTTTTCAGCAGGCATCGACCCTTTAATCCTAACCAATCCGAAATTCGAAAATACATTATCATACAAGTGGACATTCACATGCATAAATCTTCAATTTTTGAGAGATGTCCATTCATCAAAAGTCAAGCTGAATAATTCACCACGGGCTATTCTTTCTGATAATTCTGTAACGGTTTGTTTTAGGATTTTGTCACCGTACTGCAACACTATTTTCTTAATTGTTTTTGGAGACTTTGGGCAATAATATCCTTTGGATTTAAATAATTGCTGAAGATCGCATGATGTGCAAATCTTTTTAAACGATAAACAATCTCGTGCTGTCAGTCGTGCTAAAAAAGCTGGAAACGAGTCATCAATCGTTTTAATAATGTTGAAATAATCAGAAATTTTTGATCTAGAATTTGTATCATTCGTAACGGAAGTTGCGGTATCGATATTAGAACAGCTAGCTTCTGCATCATCATGTTGAACTCTTTTTAGCAGATTAATTTTATGTTTTCTGATAAGGTGATTGTGCAATCCACTTGTGCTGCCGCCTAAGCATTTAATATTTATATTTTTGCATACACTGCATATAGCTGAATCGCCAGCTTTCGTACGTAGAAAATGATTCCACAATTGATTTTGTCCGGATCCAGTAGACATCATAGATAAGGCTATGTTTTTTAAAAAAATTCAACATGTAAATTTTGGAACACAATACAAATATATTCTATAATATAATTTTAAAGAATTTTTGTGAAATACTTACTCAACACAATAAAAATATAGAATATTCGCTTTATTTTCAAAGTTATGTTTTGTGTTTATTTTCAATTTTTTTTTATGATACTTAATAATTTTATCATCCAGTGCAAAAAACCAAATAATTTAAAAAAAAACTCACTAACGCACTATTTAAATTAAATAAAATGTCACCTGTAACTGTAACCAATGGGACGCGAACACAAAATAAACTGAATGTAATTATAAATAAACTACATAAACAAATCCTAATTGTTTGTAAATATTTTTCTTTCTCTATTATAAAACGAAAATTTAAGAAAAATCAATCAAGTAGGCTGTATTTTTTTTTAAGAAATGCATATTGTAATATTGTAAGAAAACAAAATTCTTTTCCATTATAAAGCTCTTAATTTTTTGCGATTTCAACTGTTTTTTTATAATATGTAAAAAAGTTAGCTTTTTGGTAGAATTTTTCTTTTTAGTTAGAAAAAAATACTATTAATAAATTATTCAGAATTTCCATAAAATTTTACCGATTTACCGGTAAATTATTTGAAAATTACCGGTAAATTTAAACATAATTTTTAACCAATTTACTGGTAAACCGGTTTACCGGTTTTGCTAGCCCTATTCTAGACCTTGAGAACCTTTTTTTACAAGTTGATGATTAGCCCCTCCACTTTGAAATCCGTTTACATGAAACCTGTACACACACACACACACACATATATATATATATATATATATATATATAAATATATATATATATATATATATATATATATATATATATATATATATATATATATATATATATATATATATATATATATATATATATATATAAATATATATATATACATATATACATATATATATATATACATATATATATATATATATATATATATATATATATATATATATATATATATATATATATATATATATATATATTTATATATATATATATATATATATTTATATATATATATTTATATATATATATGTATATATATATATATATATATATATATATATATATATATATATATATATATATATATATATGTATATATATATATATATATATATATGTATATATATATATATATATATATATATATATATATATATATATATATATATATATATATATATATATATATTTATATATATATA